TCTCTCTCTCTCTCTCTCTCACACACACACACACACACACACACACACACACATACATACAGACATACCTGGTGAAGCAGCCTGTTGAGAAAGAATCCAAATAACCCCGGGTAACAACAGCAAGGCTTCATCCTCTGTTTGTCCAGTGAACACCGGTCAGGAGGTTGCATATTTCCTTTTAACAAATATGTATCCCAGCATACCATCTTCAGTACAGGCCCTAAGAAGACAAAAACAAAGAGCACACTCAGACCTCTCTCAACTATGTATAAATGCAACTGCTGTGAGAAAAAGCATAGAGTTAAAGGGAAAGCCGCTCAAACAATTCAGAGGATATGGACAAAATAAAAATGTTTTACGAGAAAAGGAGGAATTGCCAAGTATTGTCAAGGTAAAAGATACAAGGCCTTCCCCAGGCAGCTTGATGTTCCCAAAGCAGCTCGTATTATTAAGGTCAACTGACCCCAGATTGAACAGAGGGATTGTTTGAAAGGTGGAAAAAGAACAAAGGAACATTTCAAAATAGATGCAAGCTGACCTCCAAAAACTCTTTTGAGTTGTGTTCTGCTGCCTGCTGTGTTTCTCCCTCCTAATGATGTAAACACTGATTTACAAATGTACTAGGTGCACCAGAGGCACAAGGTCTTATCTCACTAAACCAAGCCATGGGACTTCCTGCTAGGCACTTCTTTTGCCTCTCTGATGACCTAAAGCCTTCGAGTCTTTTGTGCAGTGCCCCAGCTCCAATATCATGTAACTAATGATTTTATTACCAAAACCTATAACAATATATCTCACTCCATAAATCTCATGAGAAAGCAATGAAGCTAACAGAATACCAGAGAAGAACCTTAGAGCTTTAATGGCTTGCACCGTGCTCTGTTCCATTGCAACCCTGGCTTTGAAAGGTAGAGAGTGGATGAACAGACTGTTCTTTCAACAGTCCTTGTCCTTCTGCACATTAAATCTCAGTCATATACACCTCACTGCTGAACTAGTCTGCTTCAGCTACCCTCCTTCACACACCACCAGACTTTAAGCTTTGGTCACCACAGTGCTCCTGCAGTTTCTGCTGACATCATGCACAAACCTTTAAATATATCGTACCCCACTAGTACTACCACTACCACTCGCTATGCTGCTATTGTTATTCTGCAACAATAAGGTCAATGAATCTTTAACAAAAACAGAAGGCTGTTACACCACAGGCAAATATAAATAATATACTCGACATGAAACATTAAGCCATGGTATGAAGTGGAGCACTGTATAGAAATGAAAAGCATCAAGACCAGTCACTGTTCAAATAAAAGAAGCAGCACCACATCATAAAAATAGTTATGTTCTGCATTCAAAATATTACTCGAGTACAAAAGCATAGAAAAATATAAGTACCAAAATGAAAAGGATTGATTATGCTGTAGCATAAGTAAAAACTATGATTGAGCAGCAGACAGGAGCACAAAAATCTAACATCCCAACTTCTAGTGTAACAGAAAAAAATCTTCCTGTAAAGCTGCATCACCAATCAGCACACACACAAAAAAAGCTTCCTGGCTGGAAAGATACAGACCAAATGACACGTTGGCCAAAAAAAAAAAAAAAAAAAGTCCACATTTACCATTTAAAACTCAAATGCTTTTCATAAGATGTTGAGTAATTCAGTTATTTCTGATTAATCATCAAAACATTAACAGAAATACAACATAACTTGTATGTCCGTTGCTGAGGGAGCCTGATGGACAAGAGAACTTATCTTTCAGGAGCTGACATGTGGGGAAGGAGTAGGCCGCAACCAAGCTGATCAAACAAACAAGTCTTCATCAAACCGGCTCCAAAGATCAGCACTTTAATGAGCCAGTCAGATGGATTGTGCCCCTCATTTATTCCTGATACTTACATTTTACTTTATTTTTGGGTGTCTTCCTTATTTAGGTTCAAATTGATCTCTTCACTTTCACTCAGCTCCATGCTCTCTTTGTTTATTGACGACTCCTCCTCCTGCTCCTGCTCCCAGGTGTGCCTCGTTTAGCTCCTTCACTTTTCCTACTTCCTGTCCCCCAATAAGTCTTCTTCCTCTGAGCTTCTATAGGATGTCTAATACTTTTTTTTTTTTTTTACAATTGTTCTGGCACGTCTCACATTAATTAATATTGTTGGTTTATAATTATTGATATATTGTTTGCAATAAATGTAATGTTACAGCTGGGAATGCTAATTTTAACTCCATTAAATTATTATACTTTGAATTACTACTGAATATGTTGTGAATTTCCCAGCAGGGATCAATAATATCTTATAATACTGTGTTTTGTTTTATTAATCCAATTTTGAACAGTAACTAATGCAAACTTAGTGGTGTAAGAAATATATTTGCTTCTAAAATGTAGTGAAATATCACTTAGCAAAATATGAAAACACTTGGGTACAAATAGCTCAAAACTTAGGTACAGTACTACAGTAGTACAGTACTACAGTAGTTACTTTCCACCTCTGCATTTTAAGGGTACATGTCAGTTTTATGCTGTGGCTCATTTTTATTTTTTTAAAAGAAACATACAAGATTAACAAAAAGGTTGAGTTCTTCAGTGACAGTGTTGTTAAAATTATGTACATTTGGTTGAAAACTAAGGAATTTATAAAAGAAATGTAAACATTTAGAAGCACTTTTACATAATCACAGTTCAGCACAAACATCTAAGTGAAAAGTCAGTTTTAAATCCATTGTTTCTGACTCACAGTAGAACAGGCCAACTCACATAGTGTAGTATTCTGACACCTAGTGGCTCAATACAACCACTACACTCATTTGTCTTCACTGAACTCAATACAATATTCCATATGCAGTTTTGCTTGTAAATCTAGCCAACTTACGAAAAGCTTTAAAAACTAGTAAGTGTTGTCCATTTAAAACTGGTCCTGGTACAGCAAGGGTCTTATCTTGTTTAAGTATGTGTGTTTGTGTTACATGGTTATACAGCTGAACAATGACATTTCATTTCACTCTATGTCTGCGCATAATGTAGAAAGACAAAGCTTCTTGGATGAGGCATTAACTGCTTGAATACTGAATTCTTTGTCAACATTTACAAATTATTAATAGTTTAAAAAACCCCCCTTTTTTTTTTTTATTTTTTTTTTTTTTTTACAAAATTCTGTGCTACAGTGGCTGAAAATTCACACTCAGAAATGTAATGAACTGCCAAACTTTATTTTTAGATTAAAACAAAGCACAGCGTTAAAACATTTCCAGACTGTAATGACATCCACCCATGGTTTCAAGTGCGTGAAAAAGATGCAATCAAGCACTTCTGGCTTAAAAATCATGCTCAGAAATAGAGTTAGTCAAACTAGTCTGTTTGGTCATGAAAAAGAACTCACCTTTAAATGATTTCACATTTATCAAAAAGTTGAACTTATCATGCCCAGGCCTAAGCAGACATAGCTGAAAATAAACTCAAAGGATGTTGAGTCTGTGACAAAAAAAAAAAAAAAAAAAGCATTCGATCATTTGACTGATTTTGTGGTCAAGAGAGTGTTTCAGACAACTAATCAATATGCAGCTTGTTATGCAGGGGGGGGGAACCCCAGGTCCTCAGGCAGGACCCAAGTCGATCAGCCCAGGTAAGAGGAAAGGAGGGGGGAGCGATGAGGAGGAGGTGAAATGGGGAAGGGGTTTAGGTTTCAGTTACAGGGAAATAAGGGGCAAGGGGAGGTGGGGCTGATTTCGAGGCTTTGTGTTCATTTCTTCTTAGGTTTTGCCTCCAGGGGTTGGCCAATATCTTTCCCACGCAGTTTCATCCCTGTTCAAGGCAGGGTAATGCAAAGACATAGTGATCAACATGTGGGTTATGTAACCAACAATGAGAGTTCATTAACACAGTGTTCTTTAAATAAATAAAATAAAAAGTTTTCTCACCAATTGCTCTCTCTATCTTGCCCAAGACCTGGTTGTTGGGAATTGCTCTGCCACACTCATAGTCTGCAATGACTTGAGGCTTCTCATTAATTTTCTGAGGAGTAGATTTGCAATACATCATTTAACCACAAGCCCCAATGACAGCAAAGTACTTAAGCATGTAAAAACGGTACTGTGGCTGGGAATCTATCTGATCCTTGTCTGCCTCAGGGCAGCAGTGTACATGAATGTGTATTTTGCTAACAGTGAGTGACTGTGTGCACAGTCTAATTAATAGCGTGATAAGAATAGTACAGGTACTGACTTTGCAAGTTAGGAAAAAAACAACAACAACAAAACAGTCTGTTAAATGCAGGGATGGGTAACGAAACCCGATTTTTGACAGGCACTGGTGCTAAATTATGAAAGACTGTAGTTTTGTTACTGGTTCTACTTTTGGTACTAGAGAACTTAAGAAAATAGATTTTCAATTTATTATTGATAGAT